ATTACCTGATAAACAAGTGTATTTAGTTACCTGATAAACAAGTGTTTTTAGTTCATTACCTGATAAACAAGTGTATTTAGTTACCTGATAAACAAGTGTATTTAGTTACCTGATAAACAAGTGTTCATTACCTGATAAACAAGTGTTTTTAGTTCATTACCTGATAAACAAGTGTTCATTACCTGATGTGCCTCTGACGGATTAGAACTCTAGCGTGGTGAATGCTCTTTGCTAAACCGTGTTTGAAAACTTGAGTCTGAAGTCGTCGTTCCAAGAAATCTTCGACACGTAAACCCAAAACGTAATCAAGCTTCATCCGGTTTTCATCTAACACACCAATTCGAACTAAACGTCTTAAAAGGGCGTTCCCTAATAAGAAAGAACAGCTTTAAGACTACCAGTACTTTCAGGTGCTGTTAAGGCTTATATATTAGTACTTTTCTATATTCTATCACGACAGTATTAATTTAACACACGTATACTTAAACAGAGTGATCCATTTATCACCATCCCACTGACTTATAATAGCTTTGCCTCAACAGTGAGTGAAAATTCTAAAAACGATGGCTACATATCTTACGAACGTTTAGCGAAGGAAGGTTATCACCTCAATGGACAGTTTAAAAGATTTAGTACGGTTACAGAAATTGGTGGGAGACACGTAGATAGCTGAATTAAATCGTTCTTTTAGTGGTGTAACTATAAACGGATCACCCTGTATAGTACAATCAAGAACTTATTAATACTATACGACAGATACTATGTACGTATATAAAATTTGTTAAACAAAAGGAGAAACGACAAATTTCAAATAGAATTTTGTTTTCTGAAGCAAGTTTACAAAGTTTTTATTTGTAACACTTCTTTACATCACAAGAAACATTTCACTGAAATGGTGAAAAACGTTGTACACACGAATGTTTAACCCTCAAGTCACTAATTTGTTTTTATACCACTGACTGATAAAATTGGGTACGTGTAACGAACCTTGCATTAATTTGTGTGATTAATAGAAATAGTGATGGTGTTTATAAAATTTTGTGTGACCCACATTACTAGGGACCCCGTAACCAACACAGTCGTGAACCTACAGACAGTTTGGTACATATATAATCTTGATTCACGCACCGACGAGGTCTATATTCTAGGTTTTGGTTGGATAGGAATAAAATGGTGAAAGGAATTGGCAATCTTTTACAGACATTACAAAATAAAGAACAAAAAATCTTTTACGTTAAGAATCTGGATGGTAAAAGTACAACAAATACAGAGGTTGTGTGCATGAAATTAATAATAAAACATTATATACATCAAGTGCTATTTTAGTTTTATAACAGTAACGACATAATGATTTCTAAATTGTATTAAAAATACTTATTCAAATGGACAAAGTATAGTAGTAAAACTTATCATGGCAAATATGAACTGACCTCTCCTCTTTCCATGTGTGATACTTTCATACAATAGACTTTCTCTACAAATTACTCTGAAAATGGCAGTTGCTGCCATTTTATCTTTGTTTGTTCATCATGTCAAACGTGTAGTGTTAACCCATTTTTCCTTTGTTTGTTCGTCATGTCAAACGTGTAGTGTTAACCCATTTTACCTTTGTTTGTTCGTCATGTCAAACGTGTAGTGTTAACCCATTTTACCTTTGTTTGTTCATCATGTCAAACGTGTAGTGTTAGCCCATTTTACCTTT